GAAAGAAAGAAAGAAAGAAAGAAAGAAAGAAAGAAAGAGGAGGGGAGGGGAGGGGAGGGGAGGGGAAATCCATAAGGGGATCAAATTAATAAAAATGGCAGTCGTGACCATGAAATCAAACCATAATGCATATAACAACGTGGTGGAGCTGCCATCTTGCCTTTTTTGATCCCCCTGCAGATGCCCCAGGAGGAAAGGAGAAAAAGTTAGTTCTGCCTCTTGGTGGGGAAATGTTTCTTCTTCTTGTTCCGTTCAGTTTCAGCTGTACAGAAATCACACTATGCTCACCAGCGAGAGCAGCGACACCTCCAGCTGTGGCCTGAGCAGCATGATGGAGAGCTCTAAGAACATCCTCTACTCAGCCAGCAGTCTGCCTCACACCTTGGATGACTTGCTGGCAGGCATGAAGGTCCCAGAGAAAGAAGCCCGCCAGCCTCCACCAAGCCACTCTAAATGCAGCACCAGGAATGAAAGCGTCCTGGTCAACTTGGATGCAAGCGATGGGGAGACCAGCGCCTCAGACAGCGGATCGGAGTCGCCTGTGTGTGTGGAACTCCCACCACAGCCCGTCATCCGGGAGCACACTGTCAGCACCATCAATGCTCAGGTGGGCCTCCTGCTCGTGGATGAACAAACTCTGCCATTCACATACGGTGAAACCGGATTTCTATTAATCATCGTTTGTTGAGTAAGCCACCACAGCTTGGTTCTCATGTAACATCAAACTCTAGGCCATTGTTGCCAGTCCATAATGAATGGGGTTCTACAGTGCACTAAGCCATGGTTTCTTTTAACTGTGGTTTGCTAAGATGCCACTGTGGTTTGGTTCATACAAGAGAATAAGCCATAAACCGTGGCTTACAAATCATAATAGTGTGCAGCAGGAACCAACTAACTGAACTCCAGAATGGCTTAGCATGAAGAGTGAACCCAGCTAGTGATGTTTACGACCAGGAAAGTCACAAGGGCTTGCTAGTCCAATTCCTGGTTTGTTTTCTTCCATTTCTTTCACCCTTACTGAGGAGAAATAGGCCCATTTTCATTAGCAATGCTCCAGCTTTCTGAAGATAAAAGGAGGGTTGACTCAACTTTTCTGCAAGCAATTAGGTTTGTAGGAAAGCAGATTTTGGTACAAATTCCAATTGTCTCTCCTGTGCAGGTCTCTTGGACAGGCCCGCAAAACGGTGAGTTGATTTCCTTCTATGAGCTGCAACTGCAGGAGGCCAAGCTGGATGGCCAAGGAAAAAATATCCATTGGTTTTGCTCACAGACAGAAGAGCACTTGGAAAACCTGACTCCTGGCACGGTGTATGTGATCCGTGTCAGGGCTCTCAACGTGGCAGGTGCTGGGAAGTGGAGTCCACCTTACAGGGTACGTACTACTCTGGGGTTTGGTGAATACACTTGGCATAACATTGGGCCTCCAAAAAGATGGAAAAGCACTTCTGAGAGCAAATCTAAAGTTGGTGGATAAACCTAACACAGTCTACTACGCAGGTGTGTTCCTGCAGCAGTCAGGACCAGGAGATGTATTTGTCGTATTTCTAACGTGCCCTTCTTATTAGGAAGTCAAAGTAGCGTATGTGATTCTCCCCTCAACTTATATTTCATACTCCAATAACTCTGTGAGGTATATGAGGCTAAGACATGATTGATCCAAAGTCACCCAAATTGCATAACGACTGAGTAGATCTTCCCTTCCCAGCCAGGCCCGACCCAATAGTTCAGATTGTATTCAGTCATTGGGCTCACACAATACTCTAAACCACGTTGGATTAACAATACATTACTGAATAAGCCACAATAGGTTTGGTCTGCCCTGTGTGCCATAAGCCATGGGTTTCAACCCTTAATGGCTGGACTCAACCCATATCTGAAGCCAGAATGAAACAAACTATATTCAGTCCTAATGCAATGTACTAATGGGAGAATCAGCTTGGCTACAGCTTGCATGTGGGAGGGAGGGAGGGATGGAATTAGATTTGTATGTTGTTGAATCCTCCACAGTTCCTGGTGTCTTACAGGGATAGAAAATACACAATCCCACAAGCCTTCTCATTGCAATGTATGAGCCCCTATAGCAGTGTTTCTCAACCTTGGCAACTTGAAGATGTGTGGACTTCAACTCCCAGAATTCCCCAGCCAGCAAGGCTGGCTGGGGA